TTGTGCCTGTGCCTCAGTCACTCATGAGAATTCTGACTTCCCGAAATTAATCTGGGTCTCCTGCGTTCACCCCGAGCTCCCTCTACTTTCCCATAGGGCAGGAGCACTCTTTAAGAGTTGCCCTAAATTGCTCAACTGGTCACAAACTTGCAGCCTTCCTGCCTCAGCTTTCGCAAGTGTTGGGATTATAGGTAGATGCCACCGAGCCTGGCTTCTGCTTCGGGAACATACTTTATACTTTGTTATGGATACTGAATTCACTCTTATTTGCTACAAAGTTCTATAGAAAGAAAACTCTCTCTCCTCTCTCTCTCTCTCTCTCTCTCTCTCTCTCTCTCTCTCTCTTTCTCTGTGTGTGTGTGTGTGTGTGTGTGTGTGTGTACCAGGGAATCGAACTCAGGACCTTGCACTGTTAAGATGTATAGTTGTATTCCTCAGCCCTCTTTTTTCTTTTTGAGACAAGGTCTTGCCCTGTACTCTAAGCTAGCTTTGAACTCAATGTGTAGCACAGGCCAACCTGAAACTCAAGGCAGCACTCCTGCCTCAGCCTCCCAAGAGCTGGGATCACAGGTGTGGGACATCTTGTTTATTTTTAAGAGTTTTGGGGGCTGGGGAGATGGCTCAGTTGAGTAAGCACTTCCCTAGCAAGAGAAGGACCTGAGTTCAATCCCTGGTTCCGCCAAAAAAAAAAAGAGTTTTGTTTGTTTTCTTTCTTGAGACAAGGTCATGCAGTATCCAGGCTGGTCTTGCACTTACCATGTTCCTCAGGCCGGCCTCAGACTTGATCCTCCTCCCTCATTTCCCAATTGCTGGGCATTCAGGTGTGTGCTATCATGTATAGCTTATCTATTTTATATTAGCAGTACCTAAGATCTGCTGGGCATTAGTAGCATGTGGGTTCTATCTGGTAGTATATTGTGCTGTGCCAGTTAATTGAAAGAATTGGCTTTTTTTCCCCCCTTTTCCTTTTTGTACACTTTCAAAATATTTCAGGCCTGCCGAGGGGCCCAGACAGCTGCAGCCCAAGCTCCCCGAATCAAGAAATTTGCCATCTACCGATGGGACCCAGACAAGACTGGAGATAAACCTCGTATGCAGACTTACGAAGTTGATCTGAATAAGTGAGTATCTGTGTGAGCCGGAGGACAGATGAAGGGAAGGGAGGGGTGTTCCGTCGTGGGCGTGCTGGCGACTGGACCCAGGGCCTTGCATGTGCTGGGTGCTCTGCCACTGAGCTGCGGTCCCCGCTCACAATGGGGCTCTTGACTTCGCTTGACTTTTTTTGGTGACAGGCTTTCCACATCCTTGGGAGGTTCAAAAAGCTGAGGTTGTCTAGTGGCTCTGGAATATGTTTTAACTTCCTTCAAGAAGATAAATACCAAGAAAAATAACGTTTGCCAAATTCCTCTTCTCCCAAATTGAAGGGGGGGGGCACGTATTTTAATAAAAATTAAACCTACTGTCTTGGCACTGGGCTGGAGGTGTAGCTCAGCATGAAAGCCCTTGATTCAGCTTCCAGTACCACCAAAAAAAAAAAAGACATCAGAATCCATGCTGTAGATACTAAGAAATAATTATTAGCCAGTGTGATGACACACTCCTGTGGGCCCTGCACTTGGGAGCTGAGGCAGGAGGGTCATGAGTTTTTCAAGGAGAGCCTGGACTATGTGGCAAGATCCTATTTTGGAAAAACAAAATTTATAAATTACTTTGTGGTGAAAAATTCAACCATTTTGATGAAAAGAGCTAATTCTTTGATTGTTCTTTTCTTTTTTGGTACCTGGGATCAAACTCAGGGCCTTATGCTTGCCAGGGAGGCACTTATGCCACCGAGCTATCTATCTCCCTAGCAAACTAATTCCTTGGAAAAATACAACCTATATTGGCACTGGGCGTGGTGGCACATGTCTGTAATTCCAGTACTTGAGGCTGAGGGAGGACAGTTGCCATGAATTCAAGGCCAGCTTGAATTAAAACAGAAACTACAACAAAAAAAAAGATGCCCTGTATGCATCAGGATACTCAGTCAACTAGGTCAGGACACTGAGGTGATTTTGTGTCATTTTTTTTTTCAGAAGGGGTAGGAGGTGGGGTCTAGTAGCCCAGGCTGGCCTCCAGCTTGCAACAATGTTCCCGATCATAGGCATGAGCTACTATACCTGGCTCTTTTACCTATTTTCCAACCAAACTTTCTGTACTTATTATGTTTATCTATTTTTTGTTATTAAACATTTAAACATTTATTTTCTAAATCCTAAAAATAAAATCATAGTCTGAAATACGTTGAGAAAACTTTGGAAGGCAGTTTAAAAGGAAATAAACATACACAAAAAAACTGCCACTGTGTGGAAGTTGTTTCCTCATCTTACTTCCATTTCTTTAGCTTTGCGTTTCCTAGAAATGTGTGTGCAGCGGTAGCATCCCATAAAGCTGCGCATGCTGGGGGATAGCTCAGAGGCACAAGCACCAGCCTCGCAAGCGCGTGGTCTGGAGTTCAGTTCCTGGTACTGGGGAAAGAAAAAAGGTAGAACTGAGCAGTACTAAAAATGTAAAAAAGGTCCGGGAAGATGGCTCAGTGGAACAAGCACTTCACTGGCAAGCGCAAGCGCCTGAGTTCAATCCCCGGTTCCGCAAAAAAGAAAAAATGTAAAAAAATAAAACTGTAGGGAAGTGTCCGATTGTGATCTGAGGAGACCAAGCAGGCAGTGCCTGTGCTGGCCCAGATCACTCGGGGTAAGGGGAGGCTTCCGCGCGAACCACTGAGCTTGCCTTTCTGTCAGATGTGGTCCCATGGTGTTGGACGCGTTAATCAAGATCAAGAATGAGGTGGACTCCACCCTGACCTTCCGGAGATCGTGCAGAGAAGGTAAGCTGCGTCCCCAAGCCCGCGCTTAGCTTCTGGCTCCCCAGGGAGGCTGGGCCAGCCCACAAGGATGGACAAATGGAGAAAGGCTCTGCCGGGTAGCCTTGCCGCGCTGCGCCCTTCCTGCCCTTGGGTAAATGCGTCTGAAATTTGAACCGAGGCACAGGTTCTGGGTTTGCTTCCTGGTCAGGACCTTGTGTCAGCACAGGCACTGCTCTGGCAGTCCCTGCCTGCTCCCTGCATCTGGGGGACAGCAGGGTGCTGCTGGCCAGTGCCATGCACGCTGAGCTCATCTGTCAGGCTCCAGCATGGTGGGTGCCAGGGAAGTGTGTCCTCGGCTGTTGGAACAGTGTCCGCAGTGCAGCAACTTGTGCAGCGGATGCTGTCCAAGCTGTTGAAACCATGAAGGCTGACGTTTCCCACCTAATAACATTTGTTTTATGCATTAGAAAATGTAACTACTAGTGGTAGTGTAACGGGGATACAGAGGGTTTTTCAATATGAATTAAATTAGGAGCCAGGCATGGTGGCGCATCCCTGTAATCCCAGTGCTTGGGAGGCTGAGGCAGGAGGATCATTGCGAGTTCAAGAGCAGCCTGCACTACAGAGTGAGCTCAAGGCCAGTCTGAATTGCATAGCAAGACCCTGTCTCAAAAAGACCAAAAAAAGCCGAGCAGGTAACTCAGTGGCATAAGCGCCTGCCTGGAAAGTGCAAGGTCCTAAGTTCGATCCCCAGTACCAAAAAAAAAAAAAAAACCTTAAAAGAGTGGATTTAAAGAACGCTCTTCAGATGATTTCCTTATATGGCCGAAATATAGCGGCACACACACAGGGCCCTGAAGACTGCCTGGTCCTAAGGGCTACAGAGCCTGGCTAGGAGCCTCATTTGAGGTTTCTAGTTGCTAGTAGGATTCCCCTCAAGTGCAGGTGAGGTCCTCTAGGCCAGGGCCCAGCCAGAGCCCAAGGCCGCCCTCAGCGCTTGTGATGTTGGGAGTCCTTGGCAGAAGACATGGCGGGCAGCAAGGGCCCTAGGGCCCCCGGGACTGACTTTCTTCCTGAAAAGGAAATGTCAGTGGACATATCTCCGGAACTAAGTCCAGGCTGCGGGAATCCCCCTCTTAAGGTCCTTGGTTAGCACTGAACTTTGCTTTGCTATAACTTTAATTTGTGTTCGGAAAGTCAGCATTCAGTCAGCTTCCGTGGGGCCCAGAGCCCAGGGGAACCACTTGCCTGGTGGAGCTAGCACAGTAGGAACTGTCTCTTCATGGCTGGTGTCCCAGCCTCAGCCTTCAGATACCCAAACAGCTAATCTAGTGGGATGACACCCAGCCCTGACAAGAAGAGCCGTGGTCGTGCGGTCAGCGAGAATGGCCATGCTTGGTACAGCGTCCTGGTTACCTGAACACTTCTTAGTTCCCCTTCCTCATAACCCATCCCCAGAAATGGAGGCCTAGAAAATTCTGTTCCCTACACATCATGGTGATGCTGTGACAAGTAGTGTTATGAGGTGACTAGCACTGAGGACACAAAAATGAAATGTAAGCAGATCTTGGGTACCAGGTGCGCCTTTTTGTCAGGGACTACATGAGGAGCCTACTGTCAGCTGATTGAATCTATTTTCAGTGTTTTATTAGCATATACTAATTTTCTAAAATGCTGGGTTTTACTCTAGCATTTGCATACATGTGACATATTTTGATCATATCCTTGTTTCCTATTCCCGGACGCCTCTCCCTCCCCTTACTCTATCTGTTAGAATTTGAGTTCCAGTTACCAGTGCCTTTGACAAAGGAAAGCCACTTCCTCTCTCAAAACACGAGACTCTAGCCTGGAGCTAAAAGGAGTATGAGAAGTCCCTGTGGCCAGCAGTGCCCCAACCGCTTCTGACCTACATAGCCACCCTCGGCTTGTGTGGCCTCTTACCTCAGTAAGCCGTGGTCACAATGCTTGTGGAGCTCCAGCCGTTGGAGCTACTCGAGGCAAGGAGGAGGAAAGGGAGAAACAGCACTAGGCCTGTTAGCGTCAGTGCTGCTCCTGCTGAGAGAGCAGCCCCTGCCCAGGAGAGAGGCTCTGGACGGGCTGGACTCCGAGCACAGCCCACCAGGCCTGGCCGGGTCTCTCCGCAGGCATTTGTGGTTCATGTGCAATGAACATCAACGGAGGCAACACGCTGGCCTGCACGCGCAGGATCGACACCAACCTTGACAAAGTCTCCAAAATCTACCCTCTGCCGCACATGTACGTGATCAAGGATCTCGTTCCCGTGAGTGTCTGCAGCTCCTTCCAGGCGCCCAGGGCGGGGCCTGCGCGTTGCCTAGTCAGGTCTTCAGGGCACACGCTCCTTTCCTGTCAGGTGAAGGAACTTGGGGGCGGGGGTATCGTGCCCTGCTCTGGCCAGAGAGGCTGTCGCTGATACTCCGCAGGTGCAGACAGCGTCAGGAAGGCCTCCAGCTCTCAGGCCGTGTGGCCTTGTGGGCTTAATTACAGAATGTGAATGGCAGGAATCATTCTGGCAGCAGCTCATCTGGTGAGGTTTGTTTGGAAATAACAAAGCGTAGAGTTTAGTTGAAACCGTCCCAGAAATGAAGTTGTCCGTAACTGTAGTGAATTTGGGTGGAAAACACCTCCTGAGGAAAGAACAGTTGCCCAAGTTTACTCTTATTTCCCGTCTCTGGATCTGAGCCCCTCTCTGACGGTGTTTTCAGGGTCAGCAGGGTAGACTGGACTGTGGGACTATAAGTTCTCAGGAGGGTGAGGGAAGATTTCCGAAGCATGCTAGCATTGTGACCATGGCACCTTTTGCAATTTTTGTTCCTCTTCACTGCAGGAGGATTCTGACTTCTCAGTCACAAGGTGGGAAAGTGGGCAGCGTCCAAGAAGCAGAAACTGAAAGCGATGGTGAAACCTGACCCTTTTCTCCTCCTCCTGTTTTTCACCTCAGGATTTGAACAACTTCTATGCCCAGTACAAATCCATTGAGCCCTATTTGAAGAAGAAGGATGAGTCCCAGGAAGGCAAGCAGCAGTACCTGCAGTCCATAGAAGACCGCGAGAAACTGGTCATTATTTCCCACCCGTTATCCTGGCCTGAGAACTTGTTACTGGTGTTTGCTGGGAGTACGGCCTGTGGGGGAGCAGCAGAGCGCACAGAGAGAGTTTAGTGTTTCTGGGACAGTGTCTCCCCGAGGGTGGGGCGCCTCCGCCCAGGTCCACCAGGCAGTGGACCAGCAGGCTGGCCCACTCATGCTCCCCTGGAGGGGCAGCCATGGCTTTGGTGCTGCCTGTCCTCAGAAGAAACCAGGTCTGAAAGAGAGCTGTCTGACAGTAGAGGAAATAATCACAGAGGTGGCCACGTGTGCACTTGATAAGCCGAGATGGGACCAAAGGCTGAGGGCAGGACCAGAACTAGAGCCTAAACACGGCGCCCCCAGTGATCAGAGGGGATTGTCGCCCACCTCCTGGAGATGCTGTGCCTGTATACAGTCTATAATTTTATTTTATTTATTTGGGGTTTTTCTGGTTTTGGTTTTTTGGGGGAGGGATGTTGGCAGTCTTGGGGATTAAACCTAGGACCTTTCACTGAACTATATCCCCTGTCTCTTTTTTAATTTTTTTACTTTGGGACAGGATCTCGCTGAGTTGCTCAGGCTGAGATTAAATTTGGCGATCCCCCGTGTCAGCATCCCAGAGTACCGGGGTCCCAGATGTGCACCACCGCACCCAGCAGCCTATAAATGAGGAGCACATCAGCCCATTCTCTTCTGCCTCTGCCACTTGCACTCCTCTAAGAAGTCTTCCCTGGGCTGGCCAAATAGCTCAGCCAATTAATTAAAGCACCTGCTTAGGCAGATGCAGGGG